GAGACCATTCTGGTCAACATAGTGAAACCCCGTCTCTACTAAAAATACAAAAATTAGCTGGGCATGGTGGCGTGTGCCTGTAATCCCAGCTACTCAGGAGGCTGAGGCAGGAGAATTGCCTGAACCCAGGAGGCGGAGGTTGCGGTGAGCCGAGATCGCGCCATTGCACTCCAGCCTGGGTAACAAGAGCGAAACTCCGTCTCAAAAAAAAAAAAAAAAAAAAAAAAAAAAAAAAAAAAAAAAAAAAAAAAAAAAAAAAAAAAAAAAAACCTCTTCTGCTAAATATTACCAGTGTAATAGATTATATTATTTCTTTCTACCCCATTCACAAATACTTTCATACTACCTCAATTTTGTTAACATAAAAATGAGATACTCTCCTTAACAAATTGCTTACTTTTATACTGAAGAAATCGTAACTCTGTGGAGAGAGAATACTTTTTGTGTAACAACTTTAAATAAAGGCCATTTTCTCTTCAAACTCTTATAAATAAGAGTACATGGCAGAAGTCTGTGCCCCTTTCCACTCCCAGAGTGGCTTCCCCCTGCACCAATTCTCTTCCAGCCTTTCCCTGACCCTTGACTATTTCACCACATAAATGACAGTGGAGGGCAACTGCCTTTGGGAAAGAGACCCCAGGTCAGATGTGAAAGCAGAGGGAAAAGGGACCCAGGACACAGGGAGGGAGTGCCTCTGGGACCCAAAAGCTTAGGAAAGGGGTCTTGAGTATTGATGACTCCAATTTTTTCCTGGCTAGTGAAAGGCCCCCCAAAATTAAGAAAAAATAGTTCCTCAAAAATCTTCCCTTGCATCAGATCTGCTTTTTATATTCTCTCATCACCATCTTGTAAAATGATACATTACCTCATTTTTCTGGTAAGTACTGTGAAAAGAAAAAATATCTTGGGCCCCAAAATAACTAAGCTAAAAGGAAAACTCAAGCTGGAAATTGCTTAGTGAAAACCTGCCTCCCATTCTATTCAAAGTTCTCTCTCTGCTCACTGAGATAAATGCATATCTGACTGTCTCCGTTGGAAAGGCAAATCAGAAACTCAAAAGAATGCCACTGTTTGTCTCTCACCTATCTGGAAGGAAGCCCCCTCCCAACTTCCAGTCTTCCTCCTTTTATACTGAAGAAATCGTAACTCTGTGGAGAGAGAATACTTTTTGTATAACAACTTTAAATAAAGGCCATTTTCTCTTCAAACTCTTATAAATAAGAGTACATGGCAGAAGTCTGTGCCCCTTTCCACTCCCAGAGTGGCTTCCCCCTGCACCAATTCTCTTCCAGCCTTTCCCTGACCCTTGACTATTTCACCACATAAATGACAGTGGAGGGCAACTGCCTTTGGGAAAGAGATCCCAGGTCAGATGTGAAAGCAGAGGGAAAAGGGACCCAGGACACAACTTCAAGTTGTCCCCTTTCCAGACTGAACCAATGTACTTCTTTTTTTTTACCCAGGCTGGAGTGGAGGGCAATGGCGCGATCTCGGCTCACTGCAACCTCCACCCCCTGGGTTCAGGCAATTCTCCTGCCTCAGCCTCCTGAGTAGCTGGGATTACAGGCATGTACCACCATGCCCAGCTAATTTGTTGTATTTTTAGTAGAGACGGGGTTTCACCTTGTTGACCAGGATGGTCTCGATCTCATGACCTCATGATCCACCCGTCTCGGCCTCTCAAAGTGCTGGGATTACAGGCGTGAGCCACTGCGCCCGGCCACCAATGTACTTCTTACATATATTAATTGATGTCTCCTGTCTTCGTAAAATGTGTAACACCAAGATGTACCCCAACCACCTTGGATATATGTCATCAGGATTTCCTGAGGCTGTGTCATGGCATGTGTCCTCAACTTTGGCAAAACAAACTTTCTCAATTAACAGGCCTGTCTCAGATTTTGGGGGTTCACAGTACTAATGAGAACACTATATTTGCATCATGCTTAACAATTTACAGACATATTTAACATTCATTTTCCTTTTGTACCCAGTGGTACAATTTCATGACTGAAGCATCTGGAAGTTAATAATCATCTTATTTTTTTTTAAGAAAAATAAAACCTAAGTGGACAATATGATTAAAAATCTCAGCTAGCTGGGCTCCTGAAATCTATGTATTAAAACATTAATTTAATGCATTGCCTTTTAAGCTATTTGGCTGCAATGCTGTCTAAGAAACCACAGATTTGCTCTTCTGTGATATGTTAGGACATGAAATAGCCAGGTAAACACAACAAGGTCGAGGCCTCATTCCATGTGGGCCTATGCTAATTTTCTGTGCATTAAGGAGATCATAAAAACACCAAAACTAAGCCAGGTATGGTGGCTCACGCCTGTAATCCCTGGACTTTGGGAGGCTAAGGCAGGCAGATCACGAGGTCAGGAGTTCAAGACCAACCTGGCCAATATAGTGAAACCCCATCTCCACTAAAAATACAAAAATTAGCTGGGTGTGGTGGTGCACGCCTATAATCCCAGCTGCTTGGGAGGCTGAGGCAGGAGACTCGCTTGAACCCAGGAGGCAGAGGTTGAAGTGAACCAAGATTGCACCAGTGCACTCCACCCTGGGCGACAGAGCAAGACTCCATCTCAAGAAAAAAAAAAAAAAAAAAACCCAATAGGCTGGGCGTAGTGGCTCACACCTGTAATCCAAGCACTTTGGAGCCCAAGGGGGGCAGATCACCTGAGGTTGGGAGTTCAAGACCAGCCTAACCAACATGGTGAAACCCCGTCTTATGGAAAAAAACAAAAAAACAAAAAACAAAAAACAAAATAACAACAAAACCACTGAAACTATAAGCCAATGTGCATTGACTGAAATTTAAAAAATTTAAAATATACACAAAGAAAACTATTTATTTATTTTTGTTCATACAAATGTTTTATAGATTTTGTAATTTATAAGAGGCAGAATCTTGCTATGTTGCCCAAGCTGGAGTGCTACAGTGCTACAGAACAATCATCACATACTGAAGCCTTGAACTCCTGGGCTCAAGTGATCTTTCTGCCCTCAGCCTCAGGTGTAGCTGGGACTACAGGTGTGTGCCACTGTCCCCAGCTTTTATAATTTTCCACCAGTTGAAAAATGGACAAATGTTAGACAAATACCTTAATCTGAGTTAAGCACAGCTGAACTCCTTATTTTTTTCTTTACCAATTCTATAACTGACATAGCTTGTCATTCTCGGATCCATTTTGAAATCCCCAGAAATAGACTTACTCTGAGTGAAACTGTTGTAGTGGAGCGAGCATAGAAAGTCAACACCAAGACAAAAGGTATGCCAGATTGCAGGATCTTTATTGCCGGCGGCCACGGAGGACTCACGTATCTCCAACCCGTGGCCCTGAAAGGAGTGTGTCAAGACCTTTTATAACTGTACAACCACCTTGGGAGTGAGGGTGAGGGGCGGGGGTGGGGGTGAGGGGCTTCAGACATTCCGAGGCCTAGTAGATTCTGTAAATCACCTCCTGGGTGGAGATGAGGGTGAGGGGCTCCGGACATTCCGAGGGCCAGGGGACTTTTGACATTCTGATTGTTACTTAGGCAGTTCACAAAAGTCAAGATAAGCATTTGTTTACACATTGTCTGGGTAAGGTGGAAATTACAAGTCACAGGGGCCAAGATGGCGTGGGTTTGGACTGCTTGCCTGGCACATTTGGGTTACAGAGAGCAGTTTCAACAGAAAGCTGAGGTACGATTGAGGTATGCAGTTTTATAGGGCTTCTACCATGTCACAAAACCACATGGTTGAATTCAAAGGTTCCTGTTACCGGTCCAGGGGAGATGTCCATGTGCAGCTTTACATGGAATTCGGGGAAGAAAGAATAGAATTGATTCCATTTGGTAACATTTGTTACTGAAGGACTCTAGATATCACTGCCATCTTAGTCATCAAGTAATGGCTAGGTAGAGAGACATAACTGAGATTTACTTTAAAAATTCAGATATTTGTTTATTTCAGAATCACTGTACAATTGCATAGCAATAGAAACATTTCACAAAAATGGAGACTAAAACGCTGTAAGAGCAACAGCAATCACAGGTGTGCTCATGTGAGAAAATCACAGAACTGTTAAAGAACAGAGATTAATCAGGTGTTGCAGGTTTACACAACGTATTAAACGTATTCACATTGGATCTTTTTAAATAATAAACATCCATGTGTGGTTAGTGTGTGGATAACAATCATTCATGTATGATGAGGGGTAGAAAACCTGAGACTGAAGCAGGACTGGCCTCGAGAAACAGACCTCTCGAACACCGAACTGCGAAGGAAAAGGTGTTTATTATTATTATTATTATTATTACGGCCGGGAGCCAGGCAACAATTTGTCTAAAGGACCACACTCTCCTAACAAAGAGAAGCTCTGCCTTTATATAGGCTTATATTCTAGATATTACACATGAAAGAATCTTAGGTTTACAGCCTCAGAAATTACAAGTGAAAGGGTCTTGGGTTTCCAGCTTTAGAACGCACCTATGAAAGGGTCTTGGTCGATGGAGGAGTGGGATGGGGTTTTGATCTTGTTTAAGTAAAAGCAATGTCTTCTGGAGAGATTCCCCCACACCATGCCTGCTATTTACAGGAACGTGATTTGGGAGGCCAGTCGGCCATCCGTTTTTTCTAATGAAATGCGGTGTGGAGGTCAAGGGGAAGGTGATCCTAGATGCCTGGGTCTCCTTGTCATGATGATGCAGAAAAACTTTAAAAGTGACCCCAGGCACACCAAACACTTTAAAAGTGAACCCCAGGCAAACATAAAATCAATTAATAAGACAACGCACATCAAAGTATACCTTTGTTAAAATCTAACTTAATTGTAGCTTTTAAAGAAATTTAAAATGTGTCAGTTTGGTTACATTTACTGAATAAAGTTAACAAACGGGTAATCTCCTATGAATGAGAGCTCTGGGGATTTAAAAATAACTGAAATTTCTGTCTCCTCTCTTTATTAACAGAGATAATTATTACCTTAGCTTACCATACACAACACAATTAAACAACTGAGTATTTCACCAAATAACATACCAGAATTATATCAGAAACCTAAACATCAAAGGAAAAAAGATAATATAACTAACCCTCAACAAGAAGCTCTCCATGCTCTCATCTGAAGACCTGCTTGTTCTTTGAATATGTCTTCTGTTGAGACCTTCAGTATCATTAAGATTTCCAGCAAAAGGTGACTCTAGGACTGGCCTTGTAGCAGAAGCAGTGGCTGGATATCTGTTCTCTTTCTCCACAGTAAGCTGGGTACTGACCTCTGCTATCCTCTCATTGGTTCTATGAAGATTGCAAAAGACAAATGCTTAGTATTTCATTTTTTCCTAAGTGATTCCTAAATGACTTCAAGTGTTCTAAAAGTTGCCGTAAGAGTAAATGGAATATACTATAAGCCATATTTTAACTCTGAAAATGTGTTAGAGCACGCCTACTGTATCCAATTAAAGTTTTAACATTGTTCTAAAGAAGTACATATATTTCCAGAGGAAACAACTACTTGTTTGTTGGAAATCCCCCTAGAAATCATGTTGTACTCCTTAAATATATACAATAAATCATGCTGTACTCTTTAAATACATACAATTAAAAAACTAAAAGAAAAAAATAAAAGCTAGAAATACCTGTATTTAGTAAACTAGTTAGAGATTTTTAAAAAACCATCAGTCAAAGACATTTTCAAACAATTGTTTTTACCGCCCTTGTACATTTGACCCATTATCTGGAAAAAATTGAGCATTTGGCACTGAGGAATCATTCAAGGAGACTTTTCCTAGGGGAGAATAAGACAGCTGAGATCAAAGAGAGCTAAAGCAGCACCTACAACAATCAGCTCCTAACACTGTGGCCCACGCATCAGAGGTGGGGCCTGCCCTTTCTGTCTTCCACACACCCACTCAGGCTGACTCAGGTGCTTTTTTTTTTTTTAATCACTTAGTAAGTGATCCATCCCTTCAACCCTATGTTAATCATTCTGTACTTCACAAGTGTGTCTTTACGTGGAGTGGAAAAGCCATGCAGGACACTTCTTCTCAGGATGCCCTCTAATGATCACAATCAAGCAAAGCGAATTTACTAAGTGCCAGAATGTGCCCAGGGTAGTCGTATTTGACCCAAGGTTTTCAGCTATTATCTTCCAAAAATTAATTAAATTCATTAATATTTTGAATTAAGGTAATACTGACCATTTTTATCATGATATCATTGTCTAAATTATGAAGCTTCACAAATATTAGCTGAAAACCTAGTAGATCAGGCTAACTATACAAGAATATTAAGGGGTTGGCGGAAGCCATGTAAAGCCAAAAAACAGGAGCGACATGAATTGTCCTGGACTCAGATTTTAAAGGTTAAGCTCATTTACTACTTTCAATTTTACTTAAAGTTTCAGTTCATTTACTATCTATAATTTACAATATTCAAAAATTGTACAATCTAGTTAGCTTTCACTTCCCGCAAATCTCATGAACCTGTCTCACTAGAAGTTATGCTTTGGAAGGCAAATTAATGAGCTTAACTTATTTGCTATGATTCTGTATACTGACTTACCTTCTCAGTTCTTTTGACAATGATCTTACAGCTTTCACTTCTTCTAGGAAGAGTTCCTTAAACATTTGTAATTCTGTTATAGTAGCAGCTTGCAAAGTTTTTATTATGGAGATTTCAAATTCAAGATTTCTGATTTTCAGTTGCATCTGAATTGTTTCTGAACTTATATCATTCTCCCTTTGCAGGATCTGTTCCATAGATACTGCTTGAGTCTAAAATAAATTAAAAGGGAACATTTTTAAAGTAATTATAACCTGAATAATTAGTGTGCATTTGTTTCCTTTTGTTTTTTTTCTTTTAGTTTTTTAATTGCATATATTTAAAGAGTACAACATGATTTATTGTATATATTTAAGGAGTACAACATGATTTCTAGGGGGATTTCCAACAAACTCCTTGTTTGGAGTCAGTTATTCAGAGAACAATTTTAAGTATGTGAAGAAAGAAAGAAGCTCAAGCTTAACATATTTACCATCAGTAGCAACTGAATTAATAATTGAGTCTGAGTTGTAAAACAATTCTCCAAAGAATGACAGAAACAAGTTAAAATTTTAAAAATGGAACAATGTAACTTAAAAGCAGTTCAAGAGTATGGTATAATTTCTCAATCACAATTTTTTTTTTTTTTTTTACTTTTTCTATTAGTCTTCTTTTATGCATACTGGCCTTAGTAATCAATGATTTTCTAGTGAGAATTATTATGATGGAAGATCAATTTAGTTATAAGAATGATGGAAACTAAAATATTTAAAGGGAGAAACAGATATCACCTTCTTTCTAGAAGTCTGTCAAACAAATTGCTGTAAGAAAAGTCGAGAAAACATATACGATGTATATATCCAAAACAGAATTTGCAGCGAAATGAATGAAAGCACATTACAGATAAATAAACCAACCTGCAAGAGGAGATGCATTTCGTTTAACTTTTCTAGTATATTCTGTCCTGATCTTCCTTCACTCGGTGCTTCATACTGTTCAGTTTCACCACGTTTTAACATATTTTTCTGAATAAAACTTTTGAGATTTATATTTTCCTGTTTCCGCTGCATATTTTTTTTCTGTAGTGTTTGACATTTCTTTTTTAATGCTATCATAGCGAATAATGTCTGCCAAAGAACTTCATTCTCTGTGTCCACATGTAGACATTGTGAAGGTGCAGTTTCCTGTGCTTCTGTAAGGTCATCCTGCATGAGTGAAAAAACACTGCACTCAAGCATTGGCAGAAAAAAAAAAGATAAAAGAAAGTAGACTGAGAATGGTCTAACATAAAACTAATCATTTTTGAAAGGAATTCAGTTGCAATAAAATATTACCTATACTGTTGTAGATTCATAAGAAAACAGACCCTTGGATTACTCAGAAAATAAAAAACAAAGTTAAAACCACCAGAATTCACAAAAATACATCCATTACTTTCATCGTTTTTTCCACATAACATTTGGATTTGATCTTAGACTTCTGTTTTTCTATGATCATTTCATGGCTTTCCTCCTTAAAATGGCTCTAAGTCACACCCTTAGCACAAGTCTCTTATTCCTTTAACCCACTATCATTCTCTGTAATTTGCATGGAAGTTTTAGGGGCGTCATATTAAATTATTTGGCCGTCAGTCAAAAAATGGCCCCCATAATAAGACTCTGAAAATAAGACTCTAACAAATCTTGAAAAAAAGTGGATTCCAGCACCACAAGCCTCTTGCTGACTGCAAGTGTCTTAAGTTAATTTGAATTACATTTCAAGGAGTAATGATACTTGGAATTAAGAAGCAATCACATTTCTTAGTATAAAAGTTGAATGGCATGATCCATACCACTTTTCTGAATAAAAATGCCTTAATTTAGTAGCACAATCTTGTAATTCATTGCTGCTTTACACGAAATAAGAGAGCACATTAAATGATGACAACAAAAAATCTCACTGAAACTTCAGTGGTGCTGAGTTGGAAAGAACTGCTTTCCTTTAGAGGAAATGACTATGACTTTTTTATTTTAAAAAGGTAAGTGAAGTGGTGGTTTCAAAACATCTGCAAATTGCTTGCCACTTCTCCCATGACATTCCCTCTCCTGAATACAAGCTGGCATTAATAACTGGTTTCTCATGAACATAATGTGGCAGAACTGCTGTGTGACTTCTAAGGTTGGGTTACAAAATGTCATACAGCTTCCACCTGACTCTCTTTCTCTAGGGACTCTAGTCCTTAAAATGTAGCCACCATGCTGTGAGAAAGCCCAAACCACATGGTGAATCCTCATGTAGGTAGGTGTTTGATTGTCTTTCCTACCTAATGTCCCGCCAAAAGCAGCTTCGAATGCCACAAAGGTGAATGAACAAGCCTTTAGCTGATTCTAGTCCCCAGCTTTAAGTCACCTCAGCTGATGCCAAGTAAAGAAAAAGTGAGCTGGCCCCACTGAGCCTTGCTTTTAACTGCAGCTTATTAACAAAATAGATGTTGTTTTGAGACACAACATTTTGTTACATACCAAGAAGTAACTGATACAGATACGAACACTACGTATAGACTGCATAACAACAAAAACTACTAAAGCATGTAGGATTACCACTGGACCAGGAGCTAAGCAGAAGATAAAAGGACCTACAGAAGAATGAGCATGAAAACAAAAAGAGTTTTAAAGCGACTGAGTGGAAGCCTGATGGTCCTCGAAGAGGCTGGCAGAAAGGGTTTTAAGGATAGTGAATAAAATGATACTAGAATCTGAAGGAAAGAACACTGTTACTACACAGCTACTGATAGTAAAACCAATGCAAGAGATCAGCTAAAGAAAGACTACTACATATAAAGGAACCAGGACTTTCTGGGTTTAAGTATCTGTTTCCTTTTTATAGCCTTTCCACATATCAGAGTCCCAAATACAGACAGTCCTTGACTTAGCATGGTTCAATTCAACATTTTCTGACATTTTATAATAGTGTGAAAATGATATGGGTTGAGTACACCTCTTAGCTTAAGGGGGTGGCTGCATAGGAATAAAGTCACTGTAAATGGAATTTATTGTAAATGAAAAACCTACCCACAAATTCTGATATTTGCAATTTATAATGGTCCACAAATTGCAAATACCCTACATAACAAATGCAGATGTCATCCAGACATAACCCCACCCTAACTTGAGGAGCACCTCTATTGCTGAGATAAATGGTCTCTGGGATGAAATCAAATCCAGGGTGCTACCAGAGAACACTGTCTGAAGGTGAAGCCAAGACTGTGACTATAAGACCCTTTCTTAAGACCTCTCAAAGACTGAAGGTGGTTCCTCAAATTCCCTTAAAGGTCTTAAGGGTTTAAACATCTGAAGGCACTATCTTACGCAGCCTCACAGGAAGTGCAAGGTGAAGTGCTTATCTCAAAGGGATCTGGACATGTGGTTTTCCCAACAACAAGAACCCAGGTAAAATTCACAGCACTCTTAAATATTTAAGAGAACTATAGTAACAATAGCACTGATTGCTAGCGTGGATTAAAAGACATCAAGACAGTACAAATGAAAAGAGGCCTTAGAACCTAAGAAGTTCTACGGGGAGGAAGCTGGCTGAGAAAACTACTTAGCTGAAAACCCAGGTCATTGCTTAAGAAAGGATATAACAAAGAGCCAAGAAGGCACCGTAAAGAGCCACAGAGGATGGCTCCCATGAAGTCCAAATCAAAGAAGCAGAAGTGCGCAACAGGCTGTATTTCAGAATCGCTATGGTCTAGTACCTCCTTGTGACTCCCATTTTCTCTCTGCTCAATAGGAGGGTCCATGGCAGTTTAGGAGAATGCTGGGTGGGTGAGTGGTAGATAACTTGCCTCTTTGGTTCTTAAGTCTTTGTGTTGACAGGAAATGCACTCACGGGGTTATACCATGGAAACCACAACCCCAGGGTGAATCCCTACCAGACGTGGTCAAGACAGGATCTTGCGCTTCAAGCCTGACCCTGCTGCCATATTAACTGCGATGTGTGTGCGGGGTGGGAGATAATAATTAGAAATGAGTGTGTTTTTCAAGTGGTAGAAAATTTTTAAATTATAGGGTCGATTGTGCGTGTTTTAAAACATGGCTATACCTTCCTTAATATGCACAGCACAGACAGAGACATCATCGAGAAGGCTGACTGGGAACAGCCAGAACTCACCTCCTTCAAAAAGAAAAACCAAAACAGCAAGTAGGTAAACATAACTTGACGAAAACATCAAAGAGAACGCACTGGAATTCAGCAGGAAATTGATGGGGATCCTCTGAAGACAGAAGGAAAGAGAACTGAGGTAGCCAGCCCAGCCAGGATTATCTCAAAGCCAGGACAGACTCCCCTAAATCCCTTGTCCCACAGTACCCTATACTTGTGGAAATAGGTGGTCACCTAATAGCCCACCAGGGAAACTACTCTAGGTCAAAGGGATCCTAAGTGGGTGCTCTCCAGAGCCTGGGAGCCACCTGACTGCCACCACTGCCACCAATAGCAGGCCTGTCCTCTTTAGTGGCAGTGCTGTGCGTACCTGTGTATACCTTTAGGAGCCCTGAGGACTGGCCCACTCAAGTGTACCGTGCCGGAGCCTGAGAACAAGCCTGCCAAACCCACCAGGGCTGGTGCCCATGTCAGCCATATGAAAGCCTGAAGACAAGGTCACTTTGCTTGCTGCTGCTGTTGTTGCTGCCAGTGCTCACATACACCGTCCAGGGCCCTAAGAAGCAGCCCAGCCCACCCAGGCCTGTGTGCATTTGCCCAGGCCCCGTCTACCACTACCACCAAGGACAGTCCCACTGCCCCACTGGTACCTGCACATGCTGGCCAGGAGCATGAAGACAGGGCTGCCTCAACAGCCACTGACAAAGGCTCTTGCACGTGTCTTCAGTGAGCCTGTGGACAAGCCTGCTCCACACACTGCCAAAGGAACCCCCGCAAATGTTCCTCATAGAGGGCCAGAGAGAAATGCCCACACAGCCTGCTTTCATCACTACCAGTGCCCATGCATGCGACCAAAGAATCCAAGGTCGGGCCCCAGCTGCTACTGTCATCTCCAGTGCCACAAGTGTCACCAAGGTCCCTTGGGCTGGCCCATTACTGCCACTCTGATCCCAGCACACACCACCTGGAGGCCAAAGGGCCAGCCCACTCAGGCACTCCACTGCCACCAAAAACTGGCAAGCCTGGCCTAGTGCTGCCGGTACTAGTACTTTGTGTGCGCCACCAATGTGCCCAAGGACTGGCCTGCTATCCTCCCCATCACCATCAAGGCCTCACCGCAGCATCCCCCATGACTAACAACCACACCATAAGCCACTGAGGAGCTTACAGATACTGATGCTGATTACAGCAAAAGAAAGCATAAGTATATGGAGACTACACCAATGCGCCCACCCATCATCAATGCCAGAGCACCATATTTAACCAACAACATAGATACATTTACAGAAAAAAGTCAACCCCTAAAACTAGATGAAGTGACTGTTATACCAGCTGCACAGTTACCAACATTGAGGACACAAGAAGCATGAAAAATCAAAGAAACAAGACACCTCCAAAGGAGCACAGTAATTCTCCAGTAGCAGATCCCAAAGAAAAGGAAACCTCAAAAATTCAAAACAATGAGCTCAAGGAAACTCATATTCTGTACTGAGATATAGAATAATATAAAGGAATCAGGAAAGATTCCTGATAGGAAAGATAGAAAATACAAAGGAATCAGGAAAACAATTTATGATCTAAATAAGAAATTCACCAATGAAAAAGATAGCATTAAAAGGAACCAAACAGAAATCTTGGAACTGAGAATTCAATACATAAAATAAAAACAACTGAGAACATTGGCAATAGACTAGATGAAGCAGAAGAAAAAATTTCTGAACTTGAAGAGAGGTTTTTATATGAGGTCAGACAAATAAAAAGCAAAAAGAAAGTAAAAAGAATGAAGACAAGCCAGGTGCGGTGGCTCACGCCTGTAATCCCCGCTCTTTGGGAGGCTGAGGCGGACGGATCACCTGAGGTCAGGAGTTCAAGACCAGCCTAACCAATATGGTGAAACCCCATCTTTGAAAATAAAGAAAAAGAGAAGAATGAAGACAGTGCATGTGATATATGGGTCATGATGAGCCAAAAAGTTTTTGAATATTGGGAGTTGCAGAAATAGAAGAGATGGGAAAAGGCACATAAAACCTATATAATGAAATAATAGCTGAAAAACTCCCAA